GAGAGAGAGAGAGAGACTACTATATTAGGAAGAAACTACTCCCCAATTTGAATTGGTAATTTTTTATTTTTTCTTATTTTTGAATTTTATAGATATTTAAATTCAAAAATAATAACCAATAACTAATTTTTAACTTAACTAATTATTAATTAATTATGCCATGTGAATTTTTTCTAGGCTGCCACTTGGCTTAATGTGATGCTTTTTTCTTTGGCTTTTAATAATATAATATATAGATTTGAATTGGCAATTTTTTATATAATATAATATATAGATTTGAATTGGCAATTTTTTATTTTTTCTTATTTTCGAATTTTATAAATATTTAAATTAAAAAACAATAACTAATAACTAATTTTGAACTAAATACCTAATTATTAACTAATTATGCCATGTACCTTTTTTTTAGGCTACCACTTGGCTTGTGATGCTTTTTTCTTTGGCTTTTAATAATATATAGATTCGTGTACAAAATTGAAGAATCCAAGTCAAACACCCTTGGGAAAAGTTTCTTTTCAAAAAATACAGAACAAAAAAAAAATATTTATCGTGGATACATAAAATTTAGTTGAAAATAACATAAAGATATAACATAAAACTGAAGTATTTTGTTTGTCAAAATATATTATCTTAGTGCAGATATAATGATTATCTAGAGTAACATTTGTACCTTCAGAAATAAAAAGACCAAATTTGAAATGCGAAGATTTACCTTACTCTAGGTATCTTAAAAAATTAATTTGATTCACAGAAAAATAGATGATATAATATTTTTAACCTCAATTGGATATAAACTAATTTATCATTTAATTTCTTTTACCAAAATAGTGCTTCAATGCTTTTTATTATTACAATAGTAATTGTTTTCTGACGATACTTGCAAGTTGCAATATATACTGAAAATCGATATTTATTATTTGATCTATATATTGTTGCTAACATGATATACATCACTGACTCAATAGAAAATAGATACCATCGCGTATAAATCAAGATTGCTAAATTGAATGCCTTGTACGTAGGGGTGTCAATGGTTTTGTTCGGCCGATTATTTTATAAAATTTGTACCATACCAAATTTTCGATTATTTTATTATGTATAACCAAAATTAGACTTTTCGAAACCGTCCCAATCATATCGGTTTCTCTTCAGTATCAGTACGATTCGGTTAATTTTCAGTATTCTTTTTAAAAATGTCATGTAAAAGTCAATAGTAAGAGTAGAATGCAATAACATACGTACTTTTATAGGTTTTAGCAAAACTCTCTAAACATTTTTACATTTGAAAGGGTGATGAATTAAAAAAATATGAAAGATGTATAGAGTATAGATCTATCAACTATTCTACAGCAACGTAAAAGAAACTAAGCAAATTAATATAAAGAAAATATAAATTACACGAGTGGAAATATATTAACCAAGTTGGGACTGAGACTCAAGAATAAAGTCTATAGAATATTGAATATTCAAAAAGATAAATCTAAATCATACGAAAGGAAACATATTCAATACATTGTAGTTTGCTACTTATAAGCGCTACAATACCTTGTGTCTTAGCTTGCTAATGAATGTGTTGGAAATAATTTAGTTTCAATAGTAGTAGCGTAATAGGTTTGGGAATTAGAATTTTGAGTTTAATTACTTGTTGGCTTGTAACTGTTTTCATAATTCCAAGACCCAAGGAAAAGGTTAATGCTCTATTATTTTTAAAATTAATATATAAATATATTTTTCACATGTAAATTTATTCGGTACGGTTCAGTATTTTTTCGGTTTATTTTCATAAAATAAAAAATCTACCCTAATTATCGGTATAATTATAAAAATTTATATAAAAACTTACTGTTTTATTAAAAGAAACCTAAAACCCGATTCAATACGATACGGTTCGGTCGATTTAGTCGAATTTTTAAATATCCTTTGACACCCCTACTTGTATGCAATGTACTCCAAAGTCATTAGATCAAAATGAAAGAGAACTAAATTTGGGATTTAGTAAGTTATTTCCAACTATAGGTACCATCGTAACAAGGAATAGACCAAGAAAGAATAAACAAGAAAGAAAGAGCTGCAATCCAAGTTTGCATTTGTGCAAATCAACAACAACAACAATAACAACAACCCAATGTAATCTTATAAGTGGGGTTTGGAGAGGTAGGATGTACGCAGCCTTACCCTACTCTGGAAGGGCAGAGAGACTGTTTCCGATAGACCTTCGGCTAAAGAAGGTGGAAAAAGCCGTGATAGCAAATAATAGCAAGATAATATATTTAGAAAACTAAATTGAAGATAGCAATAGATAATATAAAAGAGGTACCGATAGAAAGTAATAGCAAGACATTATATTTAAAAAACTAAATCCAAAATAGCAATAGAGAATATGGAAGAAGTACTACTAGCAAACTAATGAAGTACTGATGGCAAATAGTAACAGAACAAGAAATGTGATAATAGCAAACTAAGGATACAGGGGGTACCATACTATCACTAATACTATCGAACTAGCGAAGACAAAGGGAAACGCACGACTACCTACTAACCTTCTATCCAGGGTCATATCCTCGGTTAGCTCAAGTTGCGCCATGTCCCGCCTGATCACCTCTCCCCGAGACTTCTTTGGCCTACCTCTACCCTTCCTCCTACCTCCAAGGCCAACCTCTCACACCTCCTGATTGTGGCATATGTGCTTCTCCTTTTAACATGCCCGAACCATCTCAGCTTCGCCTCACGCATCTTTTCCTCCACATAGGCTACTCCCACCTTGTCCCGAATAACTTCATTCCTGATTCTATCCAACCTAGTATGCCCACACATCCATCTCAACATCCTCATTTCAGCTACTTTCATCTGCTGGATATGGGAGTTCTTGACTGGCCAACACTCTAACCCATACAACATAGTCGGTCTAACCACTACCTTGTAGAATTTACCCTTAAGTCTCAACGGCACATTCTTATCGCACAAGACACCGGAAGCGAGCCTCCACTTCATCCACCCAGCTCCGATACGATGCGTGACATCCTCATCAATCTCCCCATCCTTCCGAATTATAGACCCCAGATACTTGAAACTCTCTCTCATGGGAATGACTTGCGTATCAAGCCTCACATCCACGTCCTCTTCCTGAGTAACACCACTGAACTTACACTCTAAGTATTATGTCTTGGTCCTGCTCAACTTGAAATCCTTTGATTCAAGAGTATGTCAGACCTCCAGCCTCTCGTTAACACCACCTCGCGTCTCATCAATCAGGACTATATCATCCGCAAATAACAGGCACTAAGGCACCTCCCCTTGAATGTGCGACACACAACAAAAATAATACCATAAATATTTAGCTGATCTCCCTTTATTTGATTAAAAAAAATAGCATTATATAGTAAAAGTCTTTAAAGACCATAACATAAGAATATTTTAAAGTCAGCTAATTGGAGAAATATATTTTGGCCTCGAGAACAGAAAAACTCCATAAGATATAGTATGAGATTAAATAATTAAAATATTAAGTACCTTAATAATTGAAAAAAGAAAAGTTGCACAGCAGTACTACGCAGTATTAATTCTCCACAGCTCTTCCTTACACACAGCAAACCACAACCTAACTCTGATGTTCAAAATAAACCACAATATCAATTTGTAGTTGTACATCATTTCAAGAGCCCTTAGCACTGGCAGTGCTAAACGGGGCAGGGTAGGGTGAGATCTAAATAGGCAGGGAGTTACATGGGGCAGGGCAG